CATATATATATTTACTCTGGAGAAATTTGGTCATTAAGTTTTGAATCTGGCAGCTTCCAATTGCCTTATGTTTCCTCTTGCTTAATACATTGTAGATGCTATTCACATACAGACTGATTGAGCTGAGAGATTAGAAAATGCAAAGCATTTTAGCTGTTATATGTACATTAGGTAAATTATCCAGTTGTCAATAATTTACTGCCTTTTTGGCCAGATGAATTAAAAAATAAAATAAAGTCATGATAACACTATCATAGGCATAAAACATGTATTGAGTTTCAAAGATTTAGATGGGATTTTCACATGAAGCTTTGATCTGAAATGATTACAGAAGCCATACTTCAGTCTCAGTTCCAGCTTCCATACTTCAAACCAGTACCATTGCATATTGTTAGAAATCAGATTAGGCACTACCGGAGACTACTGCATGTTCTTGGTAAAAAAAAACTCAGCTGATGATTTAACCAATAAGTGGAAAGGATAGTTTTCATACTTTGATGAAGCAGATTTACAGAAAGGGTAGAATGACTGGCAGTGACAGATACCATAATTAAAATAATTAAGAAGAATCTAAAAAATAGAGCTACAAAAGACCATGAAAACATTATTCTGTCCACCAGCCTTCTTCCCTTCCTGTTTCCCATATCTTCCTTAGCCAGTCCTGACAGGTGCTTGTCTAACCTGTCCTTTACTTCCTACACTAGAAATTCCACAGTCTCTGGGTAATCTGGTCTAATACTTCCTCTTCTTACCTAACTAGATACTAATGCCTAGCAGACAATCCCAGTTGAGTCAAACTTCACAAAAAGAATTCATACATTCTCCTGAAGATAAGCAATTTACATTTCCAACATGTAGAGTTACATCATAGTCATTATCAAACTATTAAGAGGATCAAAGTCTGCAGTCCCCTTTATTAGCATCAGTAAAATTATATTGAATGTAACAAAATGTGTGCTGATAAACCTTTAGAAAATCATTATGCAACCTAGATTTCAACAAGACAGACAGGGAATATGCAATGGGAAAATAGTGTAAGTTCTGTGAACACCAGAAGTACCAACAGTCTTGTGTGATATGGATTTGCAACTCATAATTTTAAGTGCCAGTGAAAGTTTTTCCTAGGACAGGAAGTTCCCTTCCATGTACAATTTTTTTGTTTAATAAAGTGAAAACTCATGCTGCAGCCTCTTTCTTAGTTGGAGCATTCCTAAAACTCTCCTTTACTCAGCTGCCTTTTTGCTTAAGACTTTGGAGAGAATATATTTAGTCTAAGGTCTTCTAGTTAATTTGTTCAAATTTAACATGCAAGTCCAAAAGTATGAGAGGAGCGAAAACATATAAAGGAGAGAATGGAATAAAACATCTGCAAATAACTGTGTGTCTCATACAAGCAACACATTATCCTATTTTCAGGACAGATACAAGTAAACATCCCTTACTTTTAGGGTAAAATGTGGAGAGGGAGATTTCAGTCTTTAAGCAAGCAAATACAATAATTAAGTATGCCAGTTATCTCAAGATACTTCCAGATGAGTAATAAATTAAATGGTGAGATATGCTGATCAGCTGCCACTGTATTTGCTGATACTCAGCATCTCATTGAAAAAAAGAAGATCTGTTCAAGTTACAGTGCTCATCTAGCTAGAAAATCTATAGAATGTCAGCTCCTGCTGAGGAGGAGCAGCTGTGTGAGGCAGCTGCAGTACGCCAAACTGAACTGAGCCTTCATTGGCATCAGACTCCTCACTTTGGTCTGTAATATAAAAGAACAGTTTTTAGGGTAAATACTGGAGCATGACTGACTAACAAGCACCTGTGAAAGAATTTTTGCATTTGCATACAGCATTGCCCTCCAATATAAACAAGCTGAAAGGAAAATGAGAGGAGGATGTGTGTCCAGTTTCAAAGCTGAAGAAAGTATTTTCCCTACTATTAAATGTTGTGGAAATAGCTCAGAATCAATTAACTGTGACAAATCAAGTCCCTGCAATACTGACAGCTTGAATTAACTGCTACATAAACACCTGTAGTCAAAGTAGGAGATACTTGAAGATTGTTTTATGCGGCCACATCACTTTTCAAAGTTACTTCTATCAACTGATGGGCTGTATTTCCCTAAGCAGACTGAAACTTTAGGTCCAGAATAAAACTCAAGATATCTACCTGATTGTGCCAACAAATTTCCTAAAATTTGTCCACCCATGGTCAAGTTAATATTCACTTAAGAACCTGTTCTCCTTCTGCCTGCTACTACTGCACAAACCTTTGACCTTCTGATCAGCACTGTAATTGTGTCAGTTCTTCCCACAGTTCACTCTCTATGACAGTGTAGAAACAGATAAAGCTCATTTTGAGAATTCAAAATGTTGTGTTCTTTGGCATTTTTCCACTTTACTGGCATCTTTTTTTCACCCTCTTGGAAATGTATATTTTAACCTACACACACACACAGCACACTGTACACTGTAATAGATGTTAACAGTTATTGCCCCATGTGGAAAGTAAGGACAGGTCTACAGAGGAAAGTGCAGACAGAGGTGAGTGAGCTCTGCATGTGCTCTTGATGAGCTGGACATAAGCCAGTGCTCATCTGAAATCCTTATAGCTCCATTAGCACAATGCTCTGCACAAGCTCAGGGAAGCTGCCTGTCAGCAATGCTTTTAGCTCAAGCAGGGCACCATGCAAGGTCAGAGCTAACCTGTCTGGTCACCTGGGAACACAGGCAGGGCACACACTCAGTTGTCTTCACCTCTACATGTAGTCATGCTGCAGGGCTATGTGCAAATATTCTTCAGTTTCTTCAGTTTTACAAGTCATTGTATGTATTGGAAAACCTTTTGAATTTGTACATACATTGCAATAATGTACAATTTTTCAGATGTCAGAAGCAGTCCTGTGAATTATACAGAACCAAATTATACTTACAAAGAACCTAATTCTGAGAGCAAGAGGCTGTGCATGCTTAATTAACAAGATACAGATATAAGGCAAGAATGACTTACTGCAGAATGTCCCTAAGATAGGCTCCTAGGAGTTCAAACACATGGGTGAACATGCCGTAGGAGTGAGAGAGCCTTAATGATGATAAGAATTGCAGACTTAAGCAAAACCTTTCTAAGCGTGAATGAACAGACCTTTTCTCCTTTCCCTGGTATTTCTGTTATCTCTCTTTTCAAAGAGCACATGCTTTATATGGCCTTGCCTTATATTACATTGTACACAAATTTGTCCATTTTAGATTACCACAATGGAGAGCAACCTGAAGACGATAGAAGAGGAGAACAAAGTAATTGAACAGCAAAATGAGTCTCTTCTTCATGAATTGGCCAATTTAAGCCAGTCTTTAATTCATAGTCTAGCTAATATCCAGCTGCCACATATGGTAAGTGATTGAGAGCACAAGTTAAGGAATTTGGCGATCTTCAGTTCACTTCATACAATAGATATCTTTTTTTATGTTTATGTTTCATCAACCAGTTGGATATTTGTGTTAACAGCACTGAAACCATAGAGATACATTTAACTGCTAACAAAGACATGGAGGGCCTGTTCCAGTGTATCCTGTAAAATTAAGTAAGAACTAAATAGGCATTTTAAATATTATAAAAAATGGTGGCAATATGCCTTGCTAATATGTTATGCTTAAATGAATATACGGTTAAGAAAATAAAAGTTGTATATGAACTACTATTTAATATCTCGTAGGAACCAATCAATGAACAAAATTTTGATGCTTACGTGACCACTTTGACGGACATGTATACAAATCAAGATCGTTATCAGAGTCCAGAAAATAAAGCTCTACTGGAAAATATAAAGCAGGCTGTGAGAGGAATTCAGGTCTGAACAGCTGCTATAGTGGTGAAAATCTTGCTTAAAAAAAGGATGCCTCTTGTTTTTTGCTGCTGTAATTTACCAGAAAGTGTTATATATTTATTTCTGTTTGAAACAGTGTTATGCTTACAAGACTTCATAATGATTTTATGTCTTGCTTTAAAGATAGTAACTGCAGAATAGTTTTTTGAATACATTCACATTTTGTACGTTTTCATATAAGCTGACATAGTGTGATATGCCATGTAATGTTTATAGCTGCTAATGTATGCACATTTTTGGGGTATATATATTTCTGAAGAGGTAAGCTGATCAAAATAAATAGAGTGTAAATTCTTTTTAATGCTTTAGTGATTAAATGTTTTAGTATTTTGAACTGAAATGGACAAAAAAAAACAGCTTTGAATGACAATGTTGCAGTCTGCAGCCACTTTTTAAACACTATCATTTTGCCTCATGTTGGAGGATTTTATGGGATTTAAGAAATACATTTTGTGTGCATATTGTTTCATAGCAAGAATTGGTTGCAAAAATGCTTTATTTTTGAACAATGCTTGAAAATATTATGTGACTTTTGTTTTTGAAGGATGGTGTGTGGTGGGGGCAATAAAATGAGGTTTTTTGAATTCCAAGAAAATGGCATGGATTAGATGTAAGATACAAAATGGGTAATTTATTGTAAGACAACATCAAGCCATGGAAACTTGACAGAAGATTCAAAGCAGCTTAAACAGCACTTTTTAATTAACTTCTAAGCATTACATGGTATGAATATGGGAACTTCCATTATGAAAAGAACTATATCAGAGGTGGACAACGTGAAGATTTCAGCTTTTGTTTTCAAATAAGCTTTGGAGCCAACATTCTCTTGTCTCTACTGGACTGCTAGTGCCCCTCTGAACTATCTGTTATAGCAATGTAGTTCATCTTTCAGAAATTCTGTTTTCAATTCAATATGGAGGACAATATTTCAAAGTTAATATTGCCTTTTCACATCTTTAATTTTGGAATAAACACAAACGATCCGTGTCTATTAGAGTTACTGAACTGCATTTGTTGCTGTCTGTGGTAGGAATGCAGTTCAGTAAAGATTTTTCCTTTTGCTTTGCCAAGCATTCAGTCCCATTTTTAACATTTTAACATTTATGTTTTGCTTTTTGTTGGAGAACAATCATTACTGCAGCATTCACGTATGCTTTGTATTCGTTCTACTATTACCTATTGCAAAAATGAATGCAATCAAATTTTTAATGTAACTAAATATACTTCAGCACTTTTTTTGCTTTAAACTGGATCATTTTAAGATAAAACTTATTTGTACCTTCAAGATTTGATTGTTTTCTTCAAAATGACTGCACTATATGTATGCATAAGACCACTTTTTATTACTACATTTTTCTTTTTTAAGTAGTAAATTTGGTGATGTGTTGTGTTTTACAGATGTTGAATTTATTTAAATTTGATAGCATATCTTTTCCTTCCATGTCTTGATGTTATGCAGAAAGTACAAAAGTACTTTAAAATTTTGTTATGAAAAAGATGGGTTTTGTAAAAAATAAAATATTTTTAGCAGAACAGGACTTACAGGGTCATTGTCCCCACAATGTGCCAGTTGACTATTTGCACTTACCTTGCCCTATATATCCATACGGAGGTGTGCAATTTCTTGTGTCATTAGCCTTGTGACACTAAACCTGAACAAATTATAGTGGAAGCCATTATGGCCAATCCAGTAATATTGCTAAGGGAGACTACAGGGATCTCACAACAAATATTCTGATACAATACTCAACCTCGGTATATATATATATGTATAAATATATGTATATCCCAGCGGCACTTTATACTATTCACTGTACAAAAGCTTACAGTTTTCCACGAGGACTTTAATAACTAGCTGGGAAAAGATTATGTAATTACTTTGGGGCTCTGCAGTATCTTATCTGTACAGTGCCCTTTTTCTGTTGTGCTATTAGTTGTAGCTGCCATGCTCAGAATTGCCTTTTTGAGAGCTGAAGCAAGGTGCTTGTTGTTCACCTTCTGCCATATATATTGTACTTTTGCCCTAGCCTCCTTTTAGGGCTTTCATTGTTCATAATGGCATATGCATTTTTCCACTGCATTGTGTCTGCAGCTTCTTTGCCAATATAGTAATGCTTTCAGTAGAGTAATAGATAGTATCAGTTTTGGATTCTTACTGTTATCACCTATGTACAATGGAAAGGGATTTTAAGCACAAATCTGCTGCTCATCTAATGTTGGTACATAATATCAAATCAGAAGTTATCTGTGACTATTATATAGGGATCACAAAAGTGTCACATATTAGAATGCTGACCTTTCATATGAAATTATTGTGAGTCATCAGAGTTTATTTATTATACCTTATTGTTCATATTCATTTCTAAGTTAATTTAAGTAATCATTTATTAAGACAGAATTTTGTATAAACTATTTATTGTGCTCTCTGTGGAACTGAAGTTTGATTTATTTTTGTACTACACGGCATGGATTTGTTGACATTTTAATTTTGCTATAAATGTGTGGAATCACAAGTTGCTGTGATACTTCATTTTTAAATTGTGAACTTTGTACAAATTTTGTCATGCTGGATGTTAACACATCTTACTCTAAATAAATAAAAAAATGTGTTGCCACATTTGTAGCACAGTGGTTCTATGATCACTTTCAGCATTTTCACTTTATTTCATATGACATTACAATGAAGAAATCCTCAGAGACTTTTATTAACAAGAAGCCTGGGCTGTTGATTCCTTGAATTCTCCCCACAGGATGTATGGCTGCCTCTTCAAATGATGCACCTCCTGCTCTATATAAATGCACTAAACAAGAGAAATTTGTTATAACATTTTGGAACTTTCTAGAAAGAAATTGAATAGTTTCCTTGGCCCAAATATATCTTTAAAGTAAAATACATTGATAATCAGGTTCCCAGACTCAGAAATGAGGAATAAGACAATGGAAAATTAATCTCAGTTGGAAAGCTTTTCCCTGTTCTCTGATCTGCACTAAGGCTTCAAGCTGCTTTTATAATCAGTCAGCTGAAGAGGTGACAACAGTCAGCCAACACTTCTCATCATCACTGCCTGTGACAAGAACAGTGACAGTGTGCTGGTTTGGGCTGAAGTAGAGTTAACTTTCTTCATAGAGGCTAATATGGGGCTATGTTTGGGTTTTGTGCAGAACACAGAGTTGATAAGGCAGAGATGTTTTTGTTATTGCTGAGCAGAGCTCACACAGAGCCAAGGCCTTTGCTGCTTTCCGTACTGCCACACTGGCAAGGAAGTTGGGGATGCATGGGAGATTGGGAGGAGACACAGCTGGGACAGGTGACCCAAACTGACCAAAGGGATATTCCATACCATATGACATCATGCTCAGTATATAAGGTGGGAGGAAGAAGGAGG